ATATTCGATAATATGCCCGGGGTCCTACTGCTCTCTTCAGGCCCTGTGCTGTTCTCCAGGTACCACACTGCTCAAGAGCCTCCTTGGCTAAAGCTAGGTCACAAGGTCACTTCCAGGTGATGCCACGGTCAAGGAAACCTGGGGCAGGAGATATTTTTTTGCCAAGTGCATTTTTTTTTTTTTTAAGAGAGAGCATGAGCAGGGGAAGGGCAGGGAAAGAGCGGGACAGAGGATCCGAAGCGGGTTCTGCGCTGACAGCAGTGAGCCTGATGAACCATTGGATCATGACCTGAGCCGAAGTCAGACACTCAACTAACTGAGCCACCCAGGCACCCTGCAAAGTGCAGAATTTTATTTTATTTCCCTCCTACTTATTATTCTGAAAATTTTCAAGACTATATGAACAGTGAACGAATAATACAATGGACTCTAATATATACATATATCCCTATATAATCTAGGAATCACCTAGATTCACCTATCGTGAACACTTTTTTCTGAATGGTTTAAGTGCACGTTGCAGATACTAGGATACTCCACCCCCAAGTACTTTAGTATACATCTCCCAAGAACAAGAAAATAAACATTAATTCAATAATATCACCTAGGACGTTCTGTATCCAAAACTTTCTCAGTCATCCCAAGTACCTTTCTATAGCGTCGTTGTTGTTTTTACTGTTGTCATTTAAAACAATTTTTTTTAATGATTATTCACTTTTGAGAGAAAGAGACAGAGTGTGAGTGGCGGAGGGGCAAAGAGAAAGGGAGATACGGGATCTGAAGCAGGCTCCCGGCTCTGAGCTGTCAGCACAGAGTCCGATGGGAGGCTCGAACCCAGGAACCGTGAGATCATGACCTAAGTCAAAGTCAGATGCTTAACCGACTGAGCCAGCCAGGTACCCCTTTGCTGTTGTCATTTTAATCCGGGATCTAATCAAGATTCTCCGTTACATTTCATTGTCTGCATCTTTGTTTTGTTTTGCTTTCCACGACATTGACCTTTTGGAAGAGTCCAGGACAGTTGTTTTATGGAAGGTTTCACATTGTGGATCTGCCTGCTTGTTTCCTTGTGATTAGATTCAGGTCACACATCTTTGATACCACTCCACAGGAGCTGTGTGTGCGCTTTACTGCATTCCGTCAGGAGGGACATCAAGTCCGATGGTCCCACTCTCTGTATCCTAAATCTGACCATTTGGTTAAGGCAGCCACACCCAGGTCATGTCACTGTAATCCCGTTTCCCTTTCTAATAGTTAAGAAATCTGCAGTGAAACTTGCAGGTTACCTGAATATCCTGTTCTCCAACCACCTTTCACTCAATGCTTTTAGTATCCATTGATGACTTTTGCCCGATTCACCTGCTTCACTGAGCCTTGCACAATGGTGATTTTTTTAATTAAAAATTTTTTTTTAATGTTTACTTGTTATTGAGAGACAGAGAGTGAGCAGGGAGAGGCAAAGAGAAAGGGAGACACTGGATCTGAAGCAGGCTCCAGGTTCTGAGCTGTCAGCACAGAGCCTGACACAGGGCTCAAACTCACAAACCGCAAGATCATGACCTGAGTCAAAGTCGGACACTTAACCAACTGAGCCACCCAGGCACCCCAGCAAAATGGTGATTTTTAATTTTTTTTTTCAACGTTTATTTATTTTTGGGACAGAGAGAGACAGAGCATGAACGGGGGAGGGGCAGAGAGAGAGGGAGACACAGAATCGGAAACAGGCTCCAGGCTCTGAGCCATCAGCCCAGAGCCCGACGCGGGGCTCGAACTCCCGGACCGCGAGATCGTGACCTGGCTGAAGTCGGACGCTTAACCGACTGCGCCACCCAGGCGCCCCAAAATGGTGATTTTTAAATCCCACATTGATTTGCTGGCATTCTTTTGTAAAGTGATCCATTTTTTCTCCTACCTTCTCTTTCAACACATGACTATTGGATTAAAAAAATTTAATGTTATAAGCTCAAATCGTCAAATTGTTATAATGCTCAAATTGTTCTGAATTTGGCCAATTTTTCTAACCAGGTATGTTGCTGCACCGAAGGAGATTGGGGTTCTGTTGTAAGGAAGGAGAGAATGGGTATTGGGCAGCAACTAGTAGGCCTGTTACAACACCTTACCTCCCCAAAGCCTCAGTTTCCTAGGCCTTAGAATGGGGAAATAACTCCCTCTGGATGGTTTCCAGGATTAAATGAATTGCTTATGGATTAACTGCACACAAATGATGCTTGTGTCATGGAACCTGACACAAAGGTCTTCAAAATATATAAATCTCCCTTCCTCTCCTTTCCTCTGCATTCCTATGCCACTGCCTTTATTCATCCTACTTTGGATTTATAATGTCATGTTATCTTCCCCTATTTGCAGTATAGAACTCATCGGGTTGGTTGTCATGAGGCTCAGCTAGGCTGCTGGCACTGTAACCTCCAATCTAAGTCTTGTGGGGCTCTGATTCTCTCCCCAGATTTTGCACACAGTGGAGGTGGGGAAGACCGCACACCGTCTCATGCTCAGATCTGCGGTCCGGACTCCCATTTTGCGGAATCAGTTCAGGGTGTTATTCTATCATCTGACCCGGAAGAGAAGCCCATCCCTTCCCTCAATTTTTACACCCCCCCGCCCCCTCCATAGCCATAGATGTTTGGGTGTTTGGGAGACCTTCAAAAACATGTGCAGCATGAGTGGATACTGATAGTACCCCACCCAGATTTTTTACCAGCCGGTGAGACCATCCCCCAGCTTCTGTGGCTGTGAGCTGTTGGCAGCTCACAGATGCCCCCTTCACTGGGGAGTTGTCCTGGGCTGTCACTAACTGACTGATTGGGGCACAGAAGGCCTGTCCCCTTGTCAAATGATGAAACCAATTTTGGATATAATTTGTTCTCTAGAGCACCGCCCCCACTGCCACTCCACCCAGAATTAGGCCACAGCCAGTCTCCAGTTTTGACCATATCTTTACTTAGCTTTCTCCCACCTCATCCTGTTCCCTTCCTTCATTTCTCTGGAGGCACTCCCCAATAAACCACTTGAACCAGAATCACTTTCTCGGGCTCTGCTTATAGGGGAGAAAGGGAGGAGAGAAAGGCAGGAGGGAGATTTACAAATCAAAGCATTTTCTTTTTTTAATTAAAAACATTTTTTTTTCAGCGTTTATTTATTTTTGAGAGACAGAGAGCGACAGGGCACGAGCAGGGGAGGGGCGGAGAGAGAGGGAGACACAAAATCCAAAGCAGGCTCCAGGCTCCGTCCGAGCTGTCAGTGCAAAGCCCGACGAGGGGCTCAAACTCACGAACCCATGAACCGTGAGATCATGACCCGAGCCAAAGTCAGACACTTAACCGACTGAGCCACCTACGGGCCCCTCTTTTTTTTTTTTTTTTTTTTAATGTTTACTTATTTTTGAGACAGAGAGAGAGAAAGACAGAGTGTGAGTGGGCGAGGAGCAGAGAGAGAAGGAGACACAGAATCTGAAGCAGGCTCCAGGCTCTGAGCTGTCAGCATAGAGCCTGATGCAGGGCTCGAACCCACGCACCATGAGATCATGACCTGAGTTGAAGTCGAACGCTTAACTGACTGAGTCACCCAGATGACTCAAATCAAAGGCCCCAAATCAAAGTATTTTCAGTGACAGTAGCAGATGCCTTTGTTCATAAAAATCCTCTGTCCCCACCTCTGGAATGTTCACTGGCTTCTTCACTGAAGCTATTCTCATTGGTCTCTCTCCTCCTCACTCCTTCTTTTCCAGGTTCCCCAAAGCAGCTCCAAATGATTCTTGCTATTTCATGTAGCAATCCAGTGTGCCTCGGTTCGATTCCAAACTCACGTCCAGGCCCACCTTGGTAAATCAAAGCCATTCAGAAACTCAGTTGAATAAAAGGGGGCTTCATTCAAGGTCACTGTGGCTGTAAATTGCAATCATTTATGTTCCTCCATTACACATATGATCCTGTATAAGAAGCATAAACACAATGCTTGATATACTGCACTCAATGCATGGCATGTGTGCTCATTGGCCAATGTTTCCTAAATGCCTATGATCATTCACTGCATTCCAGGGCATTTAGAATAAAATTTTGACCCTGGCTTAGAAGCCCCTACGTGATCTGAACCCTTCCGGCTCCTCTGGCCTTCTTGCCTATGGCTCCCTTCTCACTTTCCAGTCACATGGCCAGGCCCTCTTTCTATTTCTTGAATGTGGGTGGCAAGGTCTTCCTTGCCTCAGGGCCTTTATACTGGTTGGTTCCTAGCCAAGTTCTTCCCGTCTTCTCCTGGCTGACTCCTACTCATCCTGAAGTCTCAACTCAAATGTTTCCTTCTCAGAGAGGTTGCTGTGGCCTCTCAAATTAAAGGAGGCCCCCTCCTATTAATTTCCGCCCTGGCATTGTGATGTAGTTTTCCGTTTTTGGCATTTATCACAGTGATTAGTAAGTTTATTTATGTGCTTGCTTGTTTGTCTTTTCATTTGTTCCTTCCATTGCATCTAAACCTCACGATGGCTGGGCGTGTCTTGTTCGTCTTTGCATTCTCCGCGGCTAGTTCAATGTTTGCCCAGTTCTTAGTTGAGCGCCGCTCAACACGAGTTTGCTGAAGGCGCCAAGCAGCAAACCATGCGAAGGTCGCCCTGACATGCCTGCCTCAGACTCCCCGCTGGTCTCCTGGCCTTAGATCATCACCCTCGATTCTGCTTCCAGGGTGATCTTTCCCCTGGCTGCTGCACTCTAACGCGCTTTCCACCGCTCACACACCATGCCTCCGCGTGATCGCTAGTTACAGATAGGCAGTTCGGACCTTAGAGACTACAACCCCCACAACGCCCCGCGGGCCCGCGCCACATGATTGGCTGAACCTCCGGCGGCGGCCAATAGGACGGGGCTTTGTTGGCTTGTGCCGCAGCAGCCCGAGTCCCGGGAAGCGCGGGGCGCATAGGGAGCCAGAGCCTGGCGTCCGTCTGGTTGCTCTGGAGCCGAGTCGCGTGGCCGCCTGCCGGCTCGCCTCTTGCCATGGGGAGCACCGAGAGCAGCGAGGCCCGCAGGGTGTCCTTCGGAATGGACGAAGAGGAGCGGGTCCGGGTGCTGCAGGGCATCCGGGTGAGCGGGCCGCCGGCGGGCGCGAAGAGCGAGCGCGGCCTGGGCCGGGTGGGCGTGGAGGGCGCGGGCCAGCCCGAGGGGAGGTTCGGGCCCGAGATTGGGCGGGTGCGCCTCGCTCATTGAGCCCTCCCAACGCCCTGGTGGCGAGCATCTCTCCCTCCGCAGTGTACGTGAGGGACCCGAGACTCGGGGGATGCCCGGTGTCCGCCATCTGGGCAGTGGCCGCCTTCAGGCTTCACTACCCTGGCATCGGGGGAGAAAGCGGAGAATGGGGAGAGGTGGGGAGGCCACATTCCAGCTCCGGTTGAGTTGTTGCAGACCTGCATTTGTTCCCCTGCACCCCAGTGCACACGTCGTGTTACATGTACGTGGGATGCTTCCAGTCCAGGACAACGCAACTGCCTCTTCACTGAGGCTCTCGGATTCTTGACACCGCAGCCGAAGGAGCAGTTTAAAAGTTGTGAATCAGATCATATGCCCTTCCCCTTGCTTAATCCTCTCCAGTGGATGTCTAGTGCATTTAGGATGAAGAGGAACCACTTTACCTTGTTTTACAAAGCGGTTCTGCTGACCCGTGTGCCCGCATCTCACCCAGTTCCCTCCCTCCCACCTCCCGTCTATTTACTGGCTTCCTGACTGCAAGATGTTGGCTTGTTCCAAGCATAGGACCTCTGCATTTGCTGTTTTCTGCCCTCTGTCTTTTCCTGGATGAGGCTCTTATCATACTGTCACAGTTTGAGAATCATCTGAGTATCCTTAGGTGACCGGTCAATCTAAAGTAGCTTCCCACCCACACTATCAACACATTTTTTTTTTTTCATAAAAGAATCACCATTGGGAACCTCTATTGATAGTTAACTTGTTTATTGTGTTTCCCACCACAGCGAAAGCTCCTTGAGACCAAGGCTTTTGTCCTTTTCAAGACTCTATCCCCAGAACTTAGAGGAATAATAAAAGCAGCTCACATTTGAGTTCTTAGTGGGGACCATGGATTCCTCTGAATCCTTTACAGGTAACCTCTCATTTAATTTTCAACAGCCCCGTGGGAGAGGTAGAATTCTAGTTGCCAATAAGGACAAGTAAGGCACTGAGAAGTGAAGTAACTTACCCAAGGTCACCTAGATGACAAGAGGGAGAGCTGGGATTGATGGAGGCCAACTCCAAGCCCTGTTGACTGAATGCTGTAGTTCATACACCTGTGCCTGGCACATAGTGGGTGGTTTGTAAACCATTGTTGAGTGGTTCAATGGATAAGACCAGTGAAATAGCAACCACATTGAAATAGAATGCACAGATAGGGGTGTAGGTGAATTAGTTAAATTACAGAGTAACTCAGAAAAAGACCTCAGGAAGTCTGATTTCTGAGCAGATGCTCATTAGCGGTGTGCCCTGGGTGAACAACTTATTATTTGAATCTCAATCCCTGTGTTTTTAGAAAAATCAGGGGAGGGTGTGTAATCCTAGGTACTGTTTAAGATATGTGTGTGTAAGTGCTTAGAAACAGTAGTGTTTTGTGGGGGTCTCTATTCTTAGTCTAGGATAGTGCTTAGCACATTTGGTGCTTGCTAGGCCTTATCTAGTCTTGACCGGGCTCTTGATGAGGACAAAACGGGGAGGAGTTGGCTCCTGTTTGAAGGTTGAGAGGCAGGAGCCTGAATTGGAATTTAGAAAAACATCATTGGCTGTATTTGGGTGCTCTCTCACCTTTGTCACCTGGTATTCTGTGTTTGGAAATGTTGGAAAATTAGGTCAAAGTCAGGTCTTCTAAGATTCAAGGAAGTTGAGTTCCTCTAAGTTGACAGAGGATCATTTTTGGGGGGGCGGTATGATATCAGACTAGTACATTTTACATCTAGTTCCCTTAGTTCCGCAAAGTGTAAGTTCTCTTTAAAGATGGAGAATCAGGCTTAGGGCTGTTCAAACTTTGAGGTATTATCTGAGTGACTGATGGGACTTTAGTCCAGATCTTTTGGGTGCAAGAAACAGCCTTTTCTCACTACTCCAAGCTCCCTCCCCCAGTGATATGCAAGGCAGCCTGAAAATTGTGCGACACAACCTCTACCTGTTCCGACAGGTACTGGCACCCCACTTAGTTCTCCCAGAGAATGTTAAAATTAGAGGGAGGTTTGGTGACTGACTGTAAACTCATCAGAATAAATGACTTGCCTAGAGGCACACAGTGGGGTGCATGGCCCCATCAAATGAGAGCCCCTTCCCTCCTTCCTTCCTTCCTTCCTTCCTTCCTTCCTTCCTTCCACTTGTGTGCCTGGTTTGGGAGAGGGAGATTTGAGAAAGGAGGTGATGGCAATGAAGTGTTTTGTTGTGGGGGCTTTTTCTACTAGCAGAGTTACTTGAGAGTTGGGGAGTCCACCTTGTCCTTAAGCAGGCAAGTAAAAAATCAGCAGAGATCATTGGATGAACCAAATGAGAAGTTAGTTTAAGTAGAAGGTAGGTGCCGAAGAAGAGTATCTGCCCCAGGTCCTTCAGAGAAAGTTAAATATTCTTAAAGACTACTCGTATTTAATCCCCAGGCCCTGATCCTGGAAAGTACTCAAGTTCCCTTAAGATTCAGTGCTAGGGCCTTGCTCCTTTGCACATTTATTTGCATAAATTTACATATTGAGTTCAAGCCCTAATTCCACGGAAGGTAAGAGAAATTTAATTAATGCAAAATGCTGCAATTATATGCAACTCCAGTTTTCAGAGCAGGCATGTGTGAAATACATAAAGATCTCATTTTAGCCAGTATATTTAACCTTATCCTCCAATGAGAGAAGGTTCACACACGACAATAATGTCCTGTGTGTGCTCACTTCTCTGCCCCATGGAAGCAGCCGTATTTGGTAACTCAGCTGAAGTTGGTTGCTTCTCAACGTCTAGACTCCTCTGTTCTCCAGCCTTTTCCCTTTCCAGCTGCTTGGCTGCCTGCTACTCTTCCCAACTCACTTCCTGGCCGGCTGCATGATAGCTGTGTCCCCAGACCCATCACACTGTCTTGGCTACATCACATTTGCCATCATTCCTTGCTTTCGTGAGGCAAGTCTGGACCACTGCCGAGGGAAGGACCAAGGAGGATATAGAAGAGGCACAAGAAACAGTCCCCAAACATGCCCCTGCCAGAGAAGCCATACGCCTGAACACTGTACCTGTAGCCACAATTTATCCTTCACCTCAGCAAATGCTTACTGCACACAGATTACTCGCCAAGCACTGGGCCTGGCCTTGCAGAGGCCATCAGGGACAAAGCATAAGGTCCTTACCCTCATGGAGGCCTCAGCCCAATGTCAGAACAGACCAAGAAAGGAAAAAAGAGGCAAAGGAAGAAAAAGCTGCAAGTACTCTGAAGGAAACAAAAGTGTGCAGAGTAACGGGGATCCTTGCTTGCAGTGGGATGGTGGACACTGCTGCTCTGAGCGGGGGACACTGGAGATGTGCCCGAGCCATCCATGAGAAGCATGCAATCTGTGCTGTGTTTTCTGAGCACTAGCTCAGATATCCCCCTCCTGCTGACCTTGTGAGCTGTTGTCCACATCTCAGGTGTGACATAGGTTCAAGGAGGCCAAGTAACCCAAGGGCACAGCTAGTTAGGGGTAGAGTTGGAGGCTCATTCTGGCTCTACACGCCATGTGCTTGGCCAGCAACAGAGGGGTCAGGATGTTGAAAGCTGGCCAGGCACTGAGGCTAGACAGGTGATGGGTCCTGAATCGCCAGGGAGGGCTTGTCCGTGTGTTACCTTGGAGGCAACACTGCAGGTCTCTAATCAAGAGTGGTGCTTTGGAAAGATGTTCTCTGATGGTGGTGGTTTTTCTTCTCTGTTTTTAAAATCATATTTTTGAGATGTCTTACATGTGAAATTCACCCATTTGAATGATTTTTAGCAGACTTATGGAGTTGAGCAACTGTCACCACAATCAGATTTTAGAACATTTATTCTCAAGACCTAAAAAGATCGTTTGTGCCTATTTGCAGTCCGTCCCCACTTCCACGCCCCGCCCCAGGTAACCATTAATCCTTCTGTTGCTCTGAGTTTGCTTTTTCTGGACATTTCATATGAATGCACTCAGATCTCTGACGTCTGGCTTCTTTCACTGAGCACAATGTTTTTGGTGTCGGTTTGTTGATGTAGCATATATCAGCAGCTTGTTCCTTTTTATTGCCGAGTAGTATCTCATTGCCTGGCTGTCCTGCATTTTGTTCATCCAGTCACTAGTTGGTGGACATTTGAATTGCTTCTGGTTCTTTATATTATGAATAATGTTGTGAACATTTGCATACAACTTTTTTTTTTTTGGCAGACCTATATTTTCATTTTTCTTGCATAGATACCTAAGGGTAGAGTTGCTGGGTCATTCTGCTTATGAATTCAGTGAGTTGTTAGGTTTCACTTTTTAAGAAACTGTCAAACTGTTTTCTGAAGCGGCTGTACCATTTTACATTCCTGCTGGCAGTAGATGAGGGTTCCGTCTTCTCAACATCCTCACCAACACTTACTGTTTGTTTTCTTGATTGTAGCAATTCTAGTGGGTATGAAATGGTATTTCACTGTGGCTTGAATTTACATGTGGCATGAATTTCACGGTGGCATGAATTTACATGCAAGTATCTAATCGTGTTGAACATCTTTTCATGGGCTTATTTGCCATCCGTAAATTTTCTTTGGTGAAATATGTATTCGGATCTTTTGCCCACTTTTACTAGGGTTGTTTGTCTTTTTATTATGAGTTACACGATTTTTTAATGCTGGATATGAGTCTTTTTTTTTAATTTTTTTTTTTAATGTTTATTTATTTTTGAGACAGAGAGAGACAGAGCATGAACGGGGGAGGGTCAGAGAGAGGGAGACACAGAATCTGAAACAGGCTCCAGGCTCTGAGCTGTCAGCACAGAGCCTGACGCGGGGCTTGAACTCACGGACCGTGAAATCATGACCTGAGCCGAAGTTGGCTGCTTAACTGACTGAGCCACCCAGGCGCCCCTGGATATGAGTCTTTTATCGTATT